ACATTTCTAGCAGCCATCGGAAGAATTCTTAGGTCAGGTGTGTCTAATAGCTTTGCAGAGAAGCACCGCTTGGGAGAGCTACAGCTTTTTAGACAGGCTTAAGTAAGGCAGGTGGCTTTCTGCTTGTGCAGGACTGTCTTCCTGAATCTGCAGGCAGCAGAAAATAGGATCAACTTGAGCATAATGAACTATCTGTACACACTTGGTAGCTTCAATGTTAAAATCAGACAGTCATTTATCTGCCAAGATTATATGTTTTCTCTTGATTGGATTAGCAGGAACATGCGGTTACTGGAAAGGGCTAGATTTTCAGATCCCTACAACTTTTACAGTGAAGGTGTGGATCCCAGTGCAACAATCTGAAGCTTTTGGGGAGTGTCAGATTTGTTTTTCTTAGTTATTTCGTGCACTACTTCAGGAGCTGCCTGAGGCCTGCATGACTCCACATGCCATAGGTTAAAAAGTGCTGTGTTGAACTCTATAATACCAGGACAGGTGAGAGTCCTGGGCCTCGTGGGTGGGACATCAAACCCCATCCTCTGTTTGAATCAACTTACTGCCCAGCAAGAAGAAATTAATTCCCTACATTATATCAGACTTCTGGGTTGCTCCTATTCACGCCTGCAAACCCAAAGCTCCAGCGTCCCTTATCCTAGTGCAGACACAGCCGTCTTTGTCCTGGTAACTCTTATCACTGCACAGTATGAGCACACCTTACTGTACCTTTAGGAGGAGGAACCATGTTCTGAATTCTGACATAAAACCAAAGAGCTGATTTCATTTTCTTTTTTCTCTCTCTAGATGTCACAATGGCAAAATCAGCAAAACTTATTCAACAGCAGCTGGAGAAAGAGCTGTAAGTATGAAATTGGATCTTAAACTATCTGAGCTTCTCTCTCCTCCTTTCTATCTCTTACTTCAGTGCTCAGTGAGCTCCCCTGAGCCACATCTAAGTTCATTGTAGAGAAAGAGCAGTCTGTTTTGTCTGTGTAGGTGTAACCAGGATGAGAGAAGATTGCTCCTTGCTAAAGCACGTAAAAAAGCAGTAGGCAGCACAGACAGTGTATTGCCTTCTAGAAGCTGTGGGTTGGAGAAACAACATCCCAATCCTTTCCTAAAAGCTGCCATCCCTAGGCTAAGCGATACCTCCCATGGCCCAGGGAGATATCTGGGTCCTCTCTCAGGTACAGGCAGGTTTGGCTTCCAAATGTCAGACTTCCTGTGAGTGGTGTGAAGATCTCAGTAGCTCTGCTTAGTTGTACTGGCACAGGTTTTTTTGCAGGGCTGCTCTGAGGGCTTGGCATGCAAAGCTTGAGAGCTGGGAAGAGAGCGTCTAGTTTTCCTGGTCTGCTAATAGGCATTGCAGGAGCCTGTTTGGGACCCCGTGTTGGCTCTGTATCTGCCTTAGGAAGGACATTAACCTGGGAAGACAAATGATGTATGATCTGGTGCTAATTTTAGATTGTAAAAGGAAGTGGGAGGAGGAGAAAGTGGCTTGTAGACTGTGCTACATTGTAAGCTGCCATCTGAATAGCTGCAGCGTCAACGGCTGGCAAGTCCATCTGGGGAGGGGGCAAGTAGAAGTTGATTTTTTTTTTAAGCTATATTTAACCTCTGTGCATGAAGATTCTGCCTGTGAGTCCCATAATTGCAGTTGGGTCAGATCTGCTCTAGGAGATACCTGTGCAGCTCTTGTGCTGTGGTGGACTTCTCCAGCAGCATCTAGTAGAGATTTTGCTTCCACACACACACTCAACTGGATATTTTGCCTTCCTGTTGCCTGTGGGTCCTGTTTGCTAGGATTGCCACTAGATTGCAGTTAGTGGCAAGGTGGTCTTGGGGGTAGTAGGAGGAGTGTAGCTCTTTGGTCTCCAAACAAATGCATGTTCGTGGGATATGGCCGTCTTGTTGCCAAGTGGTGGACTTGGCAGTGTTAGGTTTATGGTTGGACTCGGTGATCTTAAGGGTCTTTTCCAGCTTAAACGATTCTGTGATTCTATAATCTCTTTGGCCAGTAGATGGCAGCAGGGTTATTATTGCTGGTGCCTCTTCCAGGCTGAATACCTGACCTTCCTGTTTTTAAGAGAGAAATCGGTTGCCGCATATTCAAGCTCTCCAGGAAAGTAAGCGTTCCTTGGTTCTGATGTTGGGCATTTGGCAGTTAGCTGTGTGTAGAAGTTGGATTTCTAGGTAGGTTATATGTGCCCTGTTTAGGCAGTGTCATTCCTGCAGGCTGGCAGATTGCTGCCATCCTCTCCCTGCACTGCCGTACTTGGATGTCCTTGTGTGGAGAACCCAAGGAAGTGTCTGCACTCTTATTTCTGAACTCGCATCTCTGGGCTGTGTTGTTCTTTCCCTGTGCCCCATTAATTTAGTTCCATTCTGTGAATAAGGAGTAGCTGGGGTTGACTGAGAGCAGGCACTGCCAGGCTGCTCTGTCTCTGGAAGAGATGCAGCAGTCCAGTCATGAGGTTCTATTAGGCAGTCAAAGACCTGGGAGAGATTGCTGTTTGCATGTGTGCCTGATGCAGCCCCCTGACTTCCCTAGCCTCACTTTTTGGGACCTCAGAGGCAGTCAAATCTCAGTGCCTCTGCGTCTGTTGGGCTGTTCCATCTCCCTGTGCTGCCTCTGCCTTGAATGCTGGTGAGTGTGGACAAGGAGGTCCATCCTTCCTCTCTGCACGTGGCAGGGAGCTGAGATGCTGCAGCAAGCTGAAGGGCAGGAGCAGCAGTGACATTGCAGCCTGGTCCTTGGGCAGGCATTGCTCACAGGAGCAGTGGGGAGACTCAATCCCCCTCTCAGTCCCCAAAGGTATTTGGCACACTCAAGCAGCAGAGGGGTGAGCCCCTGCATGATACCTGATACCACGGGTGCCTCTCTCTTCCCAGTTAACCTGTTAAACTAGTGCAGATCCTGAGCGCTGTGGGCTAAACTATATGTAACACCTGGTGACTGGTGTCTGCTATGGGGATATTGGGGAAATTCAGATGAGGACGTCATCACCTGACCCTTGCTGTTTATTGCAGAACAAAACCTGTTTGAGGACCCTCTCCTTGAGTGGCCTCCTGTCTGTCTTGCTCTCTTGAGCCTCTCTGCAGTTGTGCCTTCCAGCGGGTATTTAAGAGAAGTGGCCAAAGTGCCTGTCCCTGCCTGTGTAGAGCCGTGGCACCTTCTATCCTTGGTGTAGCTGGCATCCTGCTGACCGAGCTGGGTCCAAAACATCTGAGTAGCCATGGTGTAGGTAACGTTCCCCTGGTTCACAGTTTTTGACTCTTTCCGTTCTCTGCAGCAACACCTTACGAGTGACCCGCTCTGCAGCCCCCACCAGTCTGGATGGCTCAGCCACTGGGGGCCCTGCGCAACTGGGGAAGAAGGGCAAGGACTTCGACTTCTCCCAGCTACCGATGAAGGTGGAATTCGTGGAGTGCAGTGCTCGGGGCAGCAAGGGAGAGGAGGGAGATGCTGACTTCGAGGGCCTCGAGAAATGGCTGGCCAAGATCGCCTGAACAGAAAAGGGCAGGGATGTGGGGGGCGGGATGCTTGGAGACTGAAAGAAAAAAGATGGTCTGAAGCACTAAATCTCATCTTGCTGTAGAAGAAACTTCAGCTGGAAACCAGCATTGCGGTGTCTTCCTCTGTTGCTCATGGGCTTGGGAGCAACATGACACAATTGCTGGTGTGATTTCCTCTGACTGTTTCTTCACACTGCAACATTTTTTTCCTCTCCCCTCTTCCTTTGTCTTCCTCTGGGATGCTTACCCTTTGGACTTCTGTGTTTCCTTAATATTTAGGCTTTTCATTTGGTAGTTGCCAAGCAAATTAGGAAGAAGTGAACTGCCAGGTGAGTTTTAGAGATTGGAGTCTGTGTGTTGTCTTTTGCCTTCGTTTAGCATTGCAATCCTGTTACCTCTCAGAGCTACTGATCACCTCCTGATTCTGACTTCTTTCCCCAGCCTCTTGGTGCTTGGGAGTGCTGTGCACATCATCTGTGCTGCCCCAGCAAAGTGCACAGACTCTCTCTGTTGGGCAGTCATTGAGGAGAGTATGAAAAGCTGTTTACCTCCGTGTCTCCTACCTTCCTGTTCTTCCAAACCAGTGCAGTCCTGTTTCTGTGGGACTGGAGTGGTCTATTAAATGCCAAAACCAGGCTGGCTGATCTGCCTTTGCCACTGTGTACTGCCTGTGTCCTTTGCTGTGTCTTTGGGTGATTTCTTTGGCACCTTTTCCTTTAATGCAGGGCTATGTCCTGAACATAGTTTGTTTCGCTCTGCTTCTCCTTCCCGTACTTCAGGCTCTTCTCCCACAGACTTGTATGCATGTTCTCCACGTGGCAGAGTTATAGTTTGAAGCTAAGACTCTACTATGAGGCAGGCACGTTTTTAGATTCATACCTACATTATGTGTGAGATCTGGCATGACAGGTGTCTGTCTCCTGTGTGATCTCAACTGTTAATCTTGCAGGGAAGATTCAGGGAATGCCTGTTGCTGTAGCTATTGTAGTGGCTCAGCAGGCTGCTCGGGGGCTTGGAGTGTTGGAGAGCTCTGATTTAGCATGCTTCTGAACTTCTCAAAGGACGTTGCTCTCCTCCTTCCCATTCTCTGGCCAGGAGCATCGGTTGTCCAAAGGGAGATCTTCCAGCAGCATTGGTGTTGGTCAGGTGGGAGACAAGACCTTGGTGCTGTGCTGGGCGTTCAGCTTCCCCTTCCTGAACGGCCTTAAAACACAGTTGCCCTGCCCAGCAACTTCGTATAGCTTCGTGCTCTGATCGGGTGCCATTTCTGTGCAGCACCTGTGTGAGGAGGATTGCTCTCCAGGATGCTACACTGCAAATTGCGAGGTCCTACGGCAGTGAAATTTTTCCTTTTGTTTTTGTTGTTTCCCCTTTTGGGGTAGGAGGGAGTGGCTGGCTCCCGGTAGACCTTTTCTGTCTTTTGCAGGCTCCTGTCCTCCCTGGTTTGATGCTTCATCACTCAACTGATCTGTTCTGTTCTTTTCCTTTCTGTCTGGGGCATCCTCTGCCTCCCTGTAGCATTGCCAAGTGTTAGTAGCATTGGGAAGAGCAAGAACAGTCTTCTGCAAAGACCTGGCTCGTGGTGGAGCTGGGCCTTGCATTTCTAGTCTTGTGAACCCAGTGGCTCTTCTACTATCCATGCAGGAGGTGGGGATGGTTATATTTACAAAGTACGTTGTATTATTCTATTTCCTGCAGCCAGAGCATTGTTGGAACATGTTTGTCATGCTTTGAACTCCTTTAGCTGGAGCTCCTTCCCAGGCCACCTGCTTTGAATCCATAATGCTGAAGTGAGAATATTGCTATTTCTTTGGGTGGTTATTCTGCTTGCAAAGACCTGTCTCCTTGAAAAGTGACGGCCAGGCACTAGCCTCTGCTGAGGGTAAGGTAGCATGAGGCCATAATTGGTTTTAAGTTATTGTTATTAAAAGTATTCCTTAAATAAAAATTTTTTGCTTAAATATTTGTTCTGAAGTCATGGTTTAGTCTGTCTGTATTGGCCTCTTCTCAGTGGTGTCAAATCCGCCTGGACTGGGGTTTTGCTTCTGCTCAACACGATGCCGGAGATCAACCTTCCTGCTTGGTGGCTAGGTCTGTGTTGTCAAAAACCAATGCCTTTGCCACACACAGGGCTTTTGGGGTATTTTTTTGGGTGCGTATTTACTCCTTAGTCTGAATGTTAGAGACTTGATAATCATGTAGCAAAAAAACCCAAACCACCAACCAAAAAACTTAACAAAAAAGGCACTTTGCTCAAATGCACGGGAAAACTCAGGCCAGCTGCAGTGCACTGTGCGTGGCTGTTGCGGTTCACAGAGCACCTGCCCTCCTCTGTGGCGGAGGTGGCTGTGGCAACCTGCAGCTTTACAGCTGGATGGAGAAACCTCAGCTTTCCCTGTCTGAGCATGGCTGCGGGGCTTGGGGGTGGCTGTACGGCACCTAGTGCTGCTCGTGCTGGAGGATGGAGCATGCGTTGGGCTGTTGCATGTGTCTTTTGGGCTGCACTCCATGACTTGCCTGTTAAATATCTGGGGCTGTTTTTCCCCAGTGGCTGAGGGAAAAGTGCAGAACTGGAAACTCTGAATGTTGGTTTGGTTTTTTTTCCCCCAGTCAGCTTTGTGCTTTGTTTTTTGCTCTTGTGTATAAGCCTTGCTCCCAGCCTGTGGCTTTCTGCTGGCTGGGCAAGCTGCTCCTCAGGCTGCAGCTTGCCAGCCAGTGTGTTTAGATGTCTTTGGCGAGACAGCAGGATGTTATAAACTCAGTCCCTTCTGCTCCAGCTGCCTGACCCAGAGTCAGTCCCCCCACTGCATTTACACATCTGCAGGGATTGAGGCTTTCACTGTACTTTAAAGCTCTTTTGATCAGTGTTTTTCGCTATGGGTTGTGCTTTGCCTGCAAATTACTCCCCTGGAAAGGAAGGGTGCTTTTGGAGGAGATCGACAAGTACAGTGACATCCAGGATAGCAGAAACCACATGAAAGTGGAAGAGAGATTGCTGAAAGACAAAGAAAAGCAAAAATAGCATGATGCCTGAACACTGGCATCCTGGTGGTGGTGGTTTCCAAGGCTCCCAAAAACAAGGTGTTGCAACTGTGACCTTTCCTGTGCATAGAGCCATTGGTCAGCCCTAGCCACCTCTGGGGCCAGGAGCTTCTGTGTTGGCCCCGTTTGGGCCACCTCATATGCTTTTGCTGGCCAGCACCTCCTGGGACTTGTCCAGCTTGGTGTTACCTGTGATGGGATGAAGGTGGAGAAAGCGGAGTTAAGGAAGGTCATGTGAGCATTAAGGGGAAACCTGCGAGGTGGAGGGGGAACAGGAATAGCGTGGACAGATCTCATTTTCATGAAGACTTGCTGATCCAGAGCAAATCCAAGGCAGCTCCCCTCCTGTCCTCTTCCCTCCTCTCCTTTTCCTTTAGTCCCTCCATGAGCATGGATGCAGCAGGGCTGTTGGCCAAGAGCACAGTGAAAAGAAAAGTCATGCTGTGCCCTGCACAGTGATGGGGTGAGGACAGCAGAGGTTGAATACATTTACCCAAGAAAGCTCCTCCACTCCCCTGCTGTCTCTTCCCATCCTTTTAGTCTGTGATACTGCCGAGGAGGGGATACAGCTGCAATGTAAAGGAGGAGGAGGAAGGTGTGGTGGCCCTGACTGGCCCATGTTCCTTGCCCATGGGCCCAGGAGCCCAATCTTAGCTCAGCCCTGGCCCTTCAGTCCCTTCCTGAGCTACATTGTAGGTGTAGCCATCTCCAGCTCAGCCATGGCATGTCTGTGCCTGGCCATGGACCCACTGGTCCTGACCCACCAACTGACTATCCAGCACCCTTTGCTATCTCAGCCCTGGGGATGGTATTGCTGATCCTGACCAGCAGCACCTGCCATGGTCCTCTACAGGTGGCAAATATGCTTCATGCTCCTACAGGAGCCATGGAAGAGATGTGACCTTTTCAGATCTAGTGCATTCACGTCAAGCCCTTTGCGCTTGACTTCACCTTTTAGCAGTATCAGCTCAGTGAGATGAAGTGTGTGCCCTTTGCATGGTGCCAGGCTCTTGATAAGCTCATGAAGCAATTCCCTGTGATACTGGTCAAATGGTGCTCCCATGTCATGCTCTACAGGTGACAGCAGGCAGTCATCATCAATGGGTGCATCCCTAGATCCCACCAGCTGACATTTCTCTTCCCATTCTAGCAGGTTGCCTTCATCCTGCCAGCTACCTATCCGAGGTAGCTCTGCGGGGCAGGTGAAACTCTGCCAGAGCGGGGCAGTCTCCTGTGTGTTGCCTGCAGGCCTCTGCCTGCATTCCCATGCCCAAAGCCCACTGTACCCTACCTGCTGCCCCATGAATCCTGCCTGAAACCTCCTGCCCACATCCCATGCCCTACTACAGCACCTGCAGTCTCCTGTGTGTTGCCTGCAGGCCTCTGCCTGCATTCCCATGCCCAAAGCCCACTGTACCCTACCTGCTGCCCCATGAATCCTGCCTGAAACCTCCTGCCCACATCCCATGCCCTAAGACCCCCCCACACCCTGCCTGCTGTGTGCTGCATTGTGCAGGTGCCTTTTGGCAGGATGATTTAAGCAGGGTGCAGAGGGCTGCAGACAGGGTGCAGTGGGCTGCAGGCGTGCCATGGCCTTGGGGCTGCCAGCAGGTTTTATGGGGCCGCAGGCAGGCACCGCTGCCCCTCATGACTTTGGGAGCTGCAGGGAGAGCACGTGCCCTGTCTGCCACCATTTCTTCACCTTTGCCAGTGAGGGATGCACTCAGCATCTGCCAGGATGTGACCTGCAGGCATCCCCACCACCTTGCCAGTGGGGACAGCTCTCAGGGGGAGACCAGCAAAGTGCCGCAGTTGGAAAAGTGACCTTTATTTTAAAAAAAAAAGCAACAAACCCCCAAAATGTTCTGCAATAAACCCCTAGTGATAACTTTTCACAACACGTGTGCGGTGTCCGTGCTGACCTCTGCGAGGGGTGTGGGTGGGTGGGGCGAACATGGGGCAGTCCCACAGGGTTGGCAGCTGTCTCCCCTGCTCCTGACCCAGCCAGGAGGGCATTACCCGGCTGGAAAAGTCACACAGGAGGGGGGGGACCATCACCCACAGCAGGCACTTCTCTGGGTATATGGGATGGGGCTGCACTCCAGCCCCCATCTGCCTCCTGCTCCAGGTGGTGAGGGGCTACCCCCTCCCCAAAGTGATGGGCAAGGCACAGCTGGAGAGCCTGAGAGAAGCCGGTCCCAGAATGGGGCTGGCACGGAGCACCCCTCACCAGGAGCATGGTGGTGCCATGGGCTGCAGGAGAGGAGCTCAGAGCTGCTAAGGTGAAGTCACTTCCTTAGAAGGAAAAGCAAACCCGAAAAAGACAAAGTACTGGCAGTGGGTAATGGGGGATGTGGAGTAAGTCCTCAGGTGGGCTACACCAGCCCTGCTGCCTTCTCCTGCACGTTGTATTCCTTGCTTCTCTTCACCTTCCAGCCGATGAGGGCAAGGAGGACAGTGCCCACCACCTTGTAGCCCACCTGCAGCCCCAGGTATCTGTTGAGAGAAGAGTAGGGAACTACCATGTCTGGAGGCACCTCCAGCTGGCACCAGGCTGAGCTGGGGACCATCCCCATGGTCATCCCTGCCGTACCTGTTGCGGAGGAAGTCATTGTTGTAGTAGGCACAGAACCGGCGCTGGGTGCACTGCTTCTGCCAGTAGATACAGGAGGAGTCGATGAGGGCACCGAACATGGCTGGAGCTGGCAGCCAGGCTTTGAAGAAGAGAGGATGGAGTCAGGCTGCCTGCCCTGCCCTGCCGGCGTGCTTTTCCTGCTGTCCCCAAGGAGGTTAAACAACTCTTGGGGCTCAAGAAAGCCTCTGAGCACCCTGCTGCCTTCCCCCCCAGCCTCATGAGGAGATGGACACTCACCCAGCAGCCTCATTAGTAAGAACTGGACTCCGATGGCAAATGACTTCTCATCCTGGTTCACCACCCTGCAGGGGAGAAGCCATGGGAGGTCAGAGCTGCTACAGCAGCTCTGTATTTGGCCAAGTATCTTGGCCTGGTTGCATGTTTAAGAGGCCCCATTGATCCCAGCGTGAAGAAGCTAACACACCACACTTCCCCCAGTGCCTTGCGATCCCCCCCTGCCCATTGCTCACCGTAAAACCATCATGTAGAGGGGGTTGTGGGACAGGCAGGCTACCAGGGCAGCAAAGGAGATGAGGAATATGGCAGGAAGAAGCATGTGGGAGCAGCTGAGAGGACAGGAGCCTGTCTTGGCAGAAGACAGCCTGTTCCCAGCAGGGATCAGGGAACAGTTCCTGTAGATCTGTTGGAAACGATTGGAAAAAACAAACATAAAACTCCCAAAGCCAAGAGCAGGGTTTTTAGTGACGCACGAGACCATATCACTTTGCAGAAGATTGATGAGAGCATCAGCTCCAATTTTAAGGCATGGCCATGGTGTCCTGCAATGAGATGTGCTGCCATCCCCATTTCTCCACCAGACTCCCAGAGCATTACAGCAATTCTCCATTGCACCTTCTCAGGACTTCAGCTCCTCTGGTAGACCTCCCTGCTCCTCACCTCAAAAAGGCTCTACCACGTTATTGCATTTTTCAGGTTTGTACAGCATCGCTGCAGCCTCCACCACCATCACCAGCAAGCAAGGTATACTCTGCTTTGCAAACCACTCATTTTACTCACCACTTGTCTGGGAGTGGAAGAATTAGCGGTGCTGTTCGTGCAGCCAGCAAAGCAGGGGGAGATGTACTCCACGTTGTTTTCTCCGCACACTGGGTGAAAGATGTGCTCAGAGCAATGGCACCCACTCGGTGTCTTAACCTGCTGCTGGGAACTCAATGTACTGCCAAAAAGGAGAAAAAAATTTAAAATATTAAGAAATAGAACAGGAGGAAGAAAAATTCCTTTTACTAGTTAACCAGTTTTCCCATTCCTATTTGCGCTGGGA